TTCTGCAGAGCAGCATACAGTATCACAATATTCTCCAGTGTATTCTCATGGCTACTCAGGAGGACCCATATTTGTTATGATTTATGCTGTGAAAACAGACACCTGTCTCACACAGTAGGCATAGTATATGTGTACGCAAACCACAGGAGACAGTGAATGCTAAGTAGAATCTTAGTACTTACTATGACAGCTTCTGGGGGTCTTTAGGGGTGACCTATCACTGACACAAGGCTCCTGTGGAGTTTCATAAAGGTCATCCAGATGCACTGAAGCGGCCATCTGGAAACCCAACCCAATGTACGTAGCAGATACTAGAGCCTAAATGCAATTTAGCAGAATCCAGTCTATGGCAATGCATTGCAATGGTCATTTTAAAGGGTAACATTCTGTTTGGCCATACAGGGACACACCCTCAAGACCAATACCCTTGCTTAATATTAGGTGCTATTTGAAAAATCCTTTGTGCTCCTGTAGCCTTTCAAAAAGAACCCAACAACACACTCTAAAGACCACTTGGTCCTAATTTAACTACATCTAATTAAGCCATAGCCATGCGATATTCCATTCTTGGATGCTTCCTTCTATACAACTCTACAAAGCTTGCCTGTATTTAATGCTTTAATCATTCACATGAAAGTATATGCGCAGCACAGAAATTTCACCTGCTTAAGTGGGCTCAAGAGAAAGGGTGCATGACCTAGTTCAGCCACACTATGCACAACTGTGGCAACACTAAACCAAACTCCACACTACAGGTCAAGTATTAGTAAAAAATAGTTTGGGTATTGAGTTGTGTAAATGCACGTGCAAATCTAAAGCATGCACCTGTATGGAAGTTTCCCATATTTCTGGATCAGCACTTTAATACTAAAGATAAGAAATGGGAGGAGGACTGGTAACTTTCTGCCCACAATGACTGCATGAAACACCCGTTTTCAGACCCGTAGAGACCATACTGGATTCTACCCCCCACAGCTATGGTTCTCAGACTTTTTAAATAGTAGGATGCAATTCTAAACTTTTGGTGTTCCACTTGTAAAGTAACTCCACACTACTTTCCCCATCCCCAACACAAAAGATATCAATTAACACAGGAGGTGTTCATATCATAGCTTTCATTTTTAGGATGGTACTTCTACGTACTTTGCAGCTTTTTATTGGATCTTGATTTAAACTGGTCCCACCTTTGTGTTGTGACTATATAAGCCTTAACCTACAATGCACCTGATGAAGTGAGCTCTGCCTCATGAAAACCTATGCAATAATAAATTTCGGTGCTATTGGATTCCTGTTTTATTCTGCTGCTACAGATTAACACGGATACCCATTCGGAATTATTTGCGTACCCTCCACCCACCTCTCCTCTTCAAATCTGCCTCTCCGACCCCACGGCCCCAAGTCTTGAGAAACCACCCCCTCATTCCTCCACACACCGCATACTGCTTTATCCCCTGCGAGATCAGACTTAGCCTTCCGCTCCTTTAGCTGACCTCACGGAGATTCTCCCCCAACATGTGAAAAGGGATCTTTCAGCATGACTGTCCCCCCCACCGAAGCCTACTTTTCCCAGCTAACAATATTAGACCTCTCCTCAATATCCTCCCACCAGTGAAACCAGCCCACCTCCTCCCAGTTTCTCAGTTTTCCAGCAGCGGCCACAGCAAAGAATCTTCTTCCACGCCGCCTCCCCCCCGCTCGGCCCAAGAATAGAAGGAGAGACCAGCGCTTACCGGTGGGGGAGCCACTGGGCACCAAGAAACGGAATGCAGACATCCTCTTCCAGCGCATGATCCCCCCACTACGACCCATCCTGAGAGCGGCGCAAAAGGAGCAAACTCCAGAGGCTACCATGCCGCTTTACTCGTTTTGCGCCAGAAAGCGACATATCCAATCACAGAGCGCTAGGCGCCTTTCATTCGCATAGATCCGCCCACACACCGCCGACAAAACTCTTTCCGCCTTGCCCCCGCGGCTTGCCTACGGAGTCGTCGAGCATAGAGGTGGTGGCATAGCCTTGTCCAACCCGGAAGCTGGGACGAGAAAAAAAGGAAGCATGTGACGGAATTCTTGTAGTAGCTGAGACGTGCTTTCGAACTCTATGGTGTATCCGCCGCTGATCTGAAGCGAGGAAAGCGATGCTAATCTTGCCACGTGTATACACATAGGATCGGACTGTGCCAGCAGCGGTAATAAAGAAAAGGTACCTCCGATAGGTAGGTGCCGGTCATCTTCAGGATCCCATATTTCCTCAGTATTAATCCCACAGTGAATACCAAATAAATCCGGAAGAGCCCTGTTTCACTGATTCGGGTCTAACCTTTTACAAAGAGCTTGACGATTAGTAATCAAGATTTATGTCTTCATTCCATGGGAACAAAACAGGCTAGTTTTAAATAATAAATTATTTTAATGCCCTCCAAAGAGTTCAAGGCAATATACGTGGATACCAGTGTTCCCTCTAAGCTAAGTTAGTGTGAGCTAGCTCACAGGTTTTTAGCCTCCAGCTCACACATTTTTGCCTTAGCTCAGGAAGGAGGGCTCCAGAGCAGACTAATTTATGCAGTGCCCAAATCGCTCGCTCACAACTTTAGTGCCAGTAGCTCACAAAGTAGGATTTTTGCTCACGAGACTCTGCAGCTTAGAGGGAACATTGGTGGATACTCCCCTCATTTTTATCCTCACAGAGCCTTGTGAGGCAAAAAACTGACTCGATCACCCAGTGAGCTTCATATGGTAGAATAGGGATTTGATTTTGAGTCTCCCCTGGCCTTTTCTGACATTCTTAAAATAAGTATCCGCATCTCCATTAAAATATAACACCAAAATAGAAGTATGCTGGATCTCTTATTGGATCACTGACTTCAACGTACAATGGTCTTCCTGTTTGACTTGCAGATTTCGTCAACATACGACTGTAGAGGCTTGGGTTCAGATCTCCATTCTACCAAGAAGTTGACTGACAGTCCCATCCTAAGCAGAGTTATAGTGTTCTAAAGTCATTGGGTGTGGAAGGATATAACTGTTTAGAATGACATTGTGAGTGACCATGAGCAAGTCATTCTCTCTGAGCCTAACCTATCACAGAGGGTAGTTGTGTGAGTAAAATGGAAGAGTGAAGACCAATGTATGTTGCCTGAGCTCCTCAGAGTAGGATAAAATGTAATAAAAAGAACAGCAAATAGTGTCTGCCTAACTGTGTGTAAAATAAAATTTAATTAATTTTTTGGGGCTTTTAAGCCATGTTCATTGATAAAAACTAGATGTTTTGACCTTTGCTGCTGGCATCTTCAGTAATCAGACTGTTGTAAAACTAATGAGCATCTTAAGGAGAAAACTCAATGTTTTTATCAACAAACATGGCTTAAAAGCCCCCCAAAATTAATTAAAGATTGTTATGACGCCAGCCGTAAAAGCTTCAGGCTAAAGATTGTCTGTAAAATGTCAAGTCTGGATGATTCCCACAAGCCAGTGAATGATGTTAAATGTTAGTAAAACTGTGCAGGCAGAATAGGGAATATAATGTGTCGGCACCAATTAATCTCATCATATCATTCTGAGGATCGACGTGCTGGGGTGGAACTGGAAAAGGAAAGGCATTTATGCACCATTTGTTTCAACTCTTGTAGTTTGACTGTTGCTTTAGATTTGTCTTTACTCTTTAATCAGAAGTCCCATTGCTGTTGCTTTTAGGCAAAATGTTTAGAACTTGAACTACATAGCCAAGTTCTAGTTAAAAAGTGATATGTCTACCTAATTCTGTGCATGTTTACTTGGAGAAAAGTTCCAGTGTTATTCAATGTAACAATAAAAATGTACAAGATTGCAGCTTGCCTCTCAAATATGTATGTCGGATCAGAGGCTTAATGTCTATGGTACTTTCTTGGGATTGTGAACATTCCATTTGGCATAGTTTCTGCATTTCTCAGTTTGTTAATTGGTAACTGCGGTGGCTCAAGTGATTAAGACACTGAACTGCAGGCTGTGGAAGGTCAGTAGTTTAGCAGTTCAAGACCCGAGTGTGCCGCATGACGGAGTGAGCTCCCGTCTCTAGTTCCAGCTCCTGCCAACCTAGCAGTTCGAAAGCAAGAAATTGCAAGTAGATAAATAGGTACCACTTCGGTGGGAAGGTAATAGCGTTCCGTGCGCCTTGGTGTTTGTTTTTTTTAAAATTATTTTATTTTATTTCATAAAAAAATCCAACACCAACACCACCCATGTGCAACTTCCAGGCATTAGAGACGTAAATGAAGTTCCATACAGTATTATATCACAATCAATCTCCGTACAACTCTATTCCACTATTAACCTTCCCTCTTAATCTTATAATCAAATTAACCTCTCAATTTCCTATTAACTGACTAATCACCCCAAATTTTTTAAACTTTCCCAAATACCCCACCATCCTTTTAAACCAGTCCTCCTCATGGTCCTTAACCTTTGACCCATTCATTCTACGTATCTTCATTGTAAGATACTCTAAAATTATTATATTGTTCATCCTTTCCCTCCAGTGATTAATCATCAGTTCCTCAGCTTCTTTCCAATTCTTTGCAATCACTTGTCTTGCTGCTACTAACATCAAATTTATCCATTTACATTCCTCTTTTACCCTTAACCCTATACCATCCAAACTAATAAGTGCCATTGCTTTAGATATTCTTACCCTTCTTCCCACAATCCCCGACATTTCTATACCAATTTGATCCCAAAATTTCTTTACCAAAGGACAATCCCACCACATATGACTGAACGTTCCCACCTCTCCACATTTCCTCCAACAATTTTTACTTCCCGATTTTGAAATATAGCTCAACTTAACTGGTGTATAATACCATTTCTGTATCATCTTCAAACCCTGCTCCTGTATTAACCTAGACGTTGTAACAAAGGGAGGTAACCTAAAAATCCTATCCCACTCTTCCTCCAAAATTTTACCTTGAAGATCTGTTTCCCAATATTCCTTCAAAACTTCTCTTGCTGATTTCCCTATACCTAATAACACCTTATACAATTTTGAAACTATGTTCGCCTTATCCTCTCCATATTCTTTCACCAATTTTTCAAAGGGAGTAGTAATTCTTTTCCCAATATGATTAATTTCTTCTTCCTTCAGCAATGTTGGTGTTTAGTCATGCCAGCCACATGACCACGGAAACGTCTTCGGACAGCACTGGCACTTCAGCTTTGAAACTGAGATGAGCACCGCAACCCTAAAGTCGGATTCAACTGGCTTTCAAGCAAGGGAACCTTTACCTTTTACTTTAATTATTATTTATGTCAACAGTCTGAAGGACGAGGAGGCTCTTCTTTTCTCATGCCTTCATCTGCTTTCTGGACAGTGCCTTCAGAAGTCTATTTTTATTAAAGACCTTGAGACTAAAAATACATACTTCCAAAAAGGCTTGCTAGATAAGACCCACAAAGAGAAATACAAAGCAAGGCCAGAAATTTTATCTGTTTATAATACATTGTGTATTTGGCCTTCAGTGACAGGCATTTGTTGATCTGCAGTGTAGTCAGTATGCCAGATTTCAGGAAGGAAAATGTGTCCCAGCACAAGAGATCATGGCACTGTCAAATTTCACTTTAATTAAGTAGGAGAGAAAAGTGTGATTTTTTAAAGAAAAATTAAAAATCAAAGTCAATACAAAGGCCCTTATGAGAGCCACAAACCAGTTATGCCACAAAATTTGGATGACAACCAGCTGGGAGCTTAAGTGTTTTTTAAAGTGTGGTTAATTTCTTACAGTGTTTACACAATTGAAAATTACATGAGTGTGGCAGCAGTAAACTCCAAAAAGCATTTATCATTTGTCTCATGTTCTGCAATAAGAGTTCCCGTCATGGAAATCATCCACTTGGTGATGACTCCCAGTGTTGTCATTGTGTACTTTCATTGCCAGCAGACTGGCACTGTACTAGTACACACTGATTTTAATACCACACGGGAATAGGTCGGGCAAAATGATCCACTGTTGTGGGCTCCTCAGTCACTTGCCATAGTGGGTAAGGAGGACAAGCAAGGAAACAGGATAAATGCCTCCTGTGGCATTTGTGATTCTTCATTCTACCCTTGTTGGCACATGAGAACAACAAGCACTTGTTCAGATTAATTTCCCTCTAATAGTGACACCAGCCACAGAAAGACCAATGATTAACTTATTCAAATGAGCTGAGGGCCATATCTTTAGACAGTCACTCAGGTTGCATATTGGTTTTCTTTGGCTCACATTTTGACTCTAAACACACTTTTATGTATTATGATTTTAATGAATGTATGTTATAAACTCACATTATTGGTCTAGTACATGTTTAACACAACCTTCCATACAAGGTTTTCACTTCCTCATTTTATTCTTACAATAACCCTGTAAAGTGGTTTAGACTGACTGGTCCAAGGTCACTGGGTGTGTTCATGGCAGACTTCTCAGATCATAGTCCAGCACTCTAACCACCACATGTTAGGTTTTAATGAGTACGCATTAAAGATCCACATTATGTATCTTCTAAACCTGACTTTTAAAGGGTATGCACATTGTGTACACCCTTCGTTCCCTGTAGCCTGAGGCTTTATCAGGCCTGCCTACTGCGCTTGAATTTTTTTCCTACCCAACTATGATTATGAAACAACCAGGTACTACTTTGCACAGACGAATATGTGGAAAATATGGGTTGAATGAATCCATGTAGAATGTTAATGTTTTGGGGTTCTTAATGTTATACCCACCTCAGAGCTGAACCCATATTTACTACACACCATTTTAACCCTTCTGCCAATTTTGTGAGGTATAGTTATTGCTCATTGATGCATTTTGCAGCAGGCACTTTAAATGAGAATACTTTAGACCAACACTGCTGACTTTTGGCAGCTTTTACTACAGTTTTTGCAACTGTGTGATGCAACAATACGTGCACTGCTTTCAGGTAGAAGTGGCTGCTACATCTCAAGGATTCAGGAATTATCTAGGTCCAAGGTCAACTGAAACGTGTTGTTACTTGATTGTAACTAATTTAAAGTTTGCCCCGGATTTTCCAGATAGTCTTGTAAATAACAAGTTCCTAGTTTAGCCTAGGGCTATCTCAGATCATTTTCTGTTGTTCCCACAGTACAATAACAGTAGCCTGTATTCTGCCATATAGTTAAGAAACCTTAAGTACCACTGAGTTTTCTTAAGTCAGGGCAATGAACTCCACCAGTTCCCGTCTCGTGCTGCGTGCCCTGAACCTATTTGTCAGTGTACTTTCAGAAACAACACAGTGAGGGTCTGTGGAAGAAGAAAATAATTGGCAAAAATCACTTAGATGCATTAAATGTGGTTATACAGGCCAGTAAGTGTGGGTAAACTGGGTGTGTGGTGGGACAATCGAACATCTATTTTACTGTTTGCTGAAGTGCTAGGACCGATTTCAGTCAATTGAACTGTGTTTAAATTGAAGTAAGTATGCCTGTCCTAACGTCAAAAGATTTTGCCAGGCTGAAGCCCCACTCAGCACAGTATGGACATGGAAGACCAGCTGCACTTTGAATCTGGTTCAGCTTGGCGTTTAAGAACACAAGATCTGCCCTTTTGGATCAGACCAAGAGCCATCTGTTTTCAACAGCAGCCAATCAGTGAAAGTCAGAAATATGCCATGAAGATGGTAGCATCTCCATGTTTGCTCCCTGCACCTGCTAATCTGAGGTAGACTTCTTTTACAAATGGAGGTTCCATTCCATTTAGCTAGCATGGCTATGTACCCCTGAGAGATCTATTATCCATAAGTTTTGAAAACTCATTTAAATTAGAGGCCATCATTACACTTTATAGTAGTAAATTGCATAAGTTATTTATGTATTGTGTAAAGAATATCTCCTTTTTGGCGGCTTTCAGAAACACAAGAAGAGAATTGGCAGCCCCATTCATCTGCTTTGCAAAGGTGCTTTTGGCCAGGGAGTTATTGGGGAAATAAAAGGGATGCCTTTTCCAAATGTGCAGTTGTGTATTCTCTTGTATGCTCTCCTAGCATTTGTGCCTTCCTCTACCTTGCCTGGGATCTGAGTGAACTGTGGAGGTGTCTAAGTGGCTTCCTTCCCTGTTTGTCCATCTGTCAAAGGTATAGGAGTTGGTACAAGGGGATGTGAACCCCACTCTGTGTAAGTAAAGGTAAAGGTCCCCTTGCTCGAAAGCCAGTCAAATCCGACTCAAGGGTTGCGGTGCTCATCTCCGTTTCAAAGCCGAAGAGCCAGCGCTGTCCGAAGACGTTTCCGTGGTCATGTGGCCGGCATGACTAAACACCAAGGCGCACGGACCGCTGTTACCTTCCCACCGAAGTGGTACCTATTTGTCTACTTGCAATTTCTTGCTTTCGAACCGCTAGGTTGGCAGGAGCTGGAACTAGAGACGGGAGCTCACTCCGTCATGCGGCACCCGGGTCTCGAACTGCTGAACTACTGACCTTCCACAGCCTGCAGTTCAGCGTCTTAACCACTTCCTTCCCTGTTTGTCCATCTGTCAAAGGTATATGAGTTGGTACAAGGGGATGTGAACCCCACTCTGTGTAGCTCCCAGGAATTACAGAAATCCTGCTGGGCACGCTATGGCTCTCCCTACAGTGAAGAATGCTGTGTTTCCTTCCTTCCTTCCCTTATTGTGTTCAAATGCATGGGTGAGGGTAAGATGATATCATGGAGATGAGCCAGCGTAACTAATCGTTTCTTGGCTGCTTCCATGTATGACTGACATGGAGGCATTGTGAGCACACCACTTTGTGATTGTGGTGTGTGAGCTACATTGCTGTGCTTTCAGTTACTTGGAAATGTGCCTTTTAAAAAATATCTTCTTTCCTAGTAAGAAAGCAGAGACACTGACTAGTTATACTGATGCAATGTTGGCATCTAGGGCTTAGGACTGCTCCCTTCTCTGGTGTGATCTAGTGTGATTTTCCCCTTCTCTTCCCAGCCTTAACTATGAATTCATGCTACATATTCACTGGTTTCTTCCCAGCATGAACCATGATTTTGTGTTATATGCACACCAATGCAAACCACAGTTAATGCCCGTCAGGTTCCCTTGAAACTGTCATTTCAATCCCTGGTTGATTAGAGAAGCAGGAGGGGGGTTTTTATATTGGCCATGGTCTGCGTGCCATGGATGCCATGAAGGAGAGGCGAGAGGAAATGTGTTCTACAGAGGGGAGGAGGGGGAAGCATGAGAACACACTTTCTGTGCTTACCCATAGTTAAGAAATCAGCAGCGTGATTTTTGCATCGACTCACTCTCTTAGTTAACATCATGAGAATAAGAATCTCAAAAGGGAAACAAAAACGCACTTATTATTTGTGTAGTCTTTTGTTATTCCAAGTCAGGAACTGATGGTATTAAGAAACCCCTATGATTATACTTCATTTCCATACACTGTGACACTCTAGCATAATATCTTTGTGCAATATAGAGAGCAAAATAAGAGATGTGGTTCTTATGCGCAAGCGTATTTGGGCCATGAATACAATATGAATCTAGATTAAATGTCACTATCCACCCCAAGTTTGTATTTACTTCCCAACACCAAAATGAGTCAGAATCACAATTCCAGTCTTCACTGGCTGCCGCTTGGCTGGTGGCTTTGTTGACAGTGGGAAGGACAGGTTGCAAAGAGCCACTGATGCAGTTGCTCAAAAGCATCCTCTCCCAGTACATGGAGGAACTGAAGCAGGAGGAGGCAAGCAGATGGCTGTGGTTCAAGTGGCTTCATAGGTTTTCACAGCAGTGAATGCAGCAAAGGTGTCTTTCTTCTTCTACCACTGCAGAGTGGAATGGGCAGGTATCCCAGATACTGAATCAGGTTGGCCTGCAATGACAACTTTGCCGCCCATTTTTATGAAGCTGAAGTGGGGATGTGTAGGAAGGTTATGCCCTTGCATATGCGCTGTATCTTTCCTTAGTTTCCTGCCTCATGAAGACCTCCACACTCTTCTCCTTGTTCCAAATGCACTCACATCACGAGCTGATCTGGGTTCAAGTTGAAAAGTACCAAGATACAACAAATAACAGAGGATGGCACATTGGACAAAACAGCAACATCTTGTGCAACCAGAGAGTGGGGGGATGGATAGAGTACAAAGCAGTGAGAAAGACAGAGCACAGCAGGAACTGGTCTGAAGATCATAGACATATTCAATAGCCTGCTGGACTGTCCTCCTGTTGCAGAATCTCAGTTAAAGGCTTTTGCACTAGAGAAGATTAAAAAGGTAAAGGTTCCCTTGCTCGAAAGCCAGTCGAATCCGACTCTAGGGTTGCGGTGCTCATCTCCGTTTCAAAGCCGAAGAGCCAGCGCTGTCCGAAGACGTTTCCGTGGTCATGTGGCCGGCATGACTAAACACCAAGGCGCACGGAATGCTGTTACCTTCCCACCGAAGTGGTACCTATTTATCTACTTGCAATTTCTCGCTTTCGAACTGCTAGGTTGGCAGGAGCTGGAACTAGAGACGGGCGCTCACTCCATCATGCGGCACACTCGGGTCTCGAACTGCTGAACTACCGACCTTCCACAGCCTGCAATTCAGCATCTTAACCACTTGAGCCACCGCAGCTCCTAGAGAAGGTTAGCTGGACACTAATGATTACCGAATAGCATTGTAATGTTCCCCCCCCCCCCAATAGTTCACTCTTCTGTCCTCCAGTCCTCTTCCCCTCCTGTGCCAATCAACTCACAGCAACCCCAGGACGATGAGGTTTTCAAGGCAAGAGGTGTGCATAGGTGGTTTGCCATTGCCTTGCTGTGCATAGCAACCCCAGGCTTTCTTGGTGGTCTCCCATCCAAATACTGACCCTGCTTGGCCTCCATGCTCTGACAAGATCAGGCTAATCACGGCTATTCAGCCTGCTACATGGGATGAGCAGTTAAATTATTCTCCGCTGTTCCAACCCCTGTACAGCTCCATAGCAAGTTCCAGACAAGCAGCAGTCCTTGCTTGAGACTTCCTTTGCAGTGCCAGTCTAACAGTCTACCATTAATGAAGATTATATGTCCCTGGCCTTATGTAACTTTTGTATTTTCCTTTTGCAGAAAGGCAAAATTTTCTACATGGAAAAGATTGGAACGCATTCATCAGAAAAGAAACCATCCACAGTGGTCCCAGTCATGACTTACTGATACGATTTAGTTTAATTTGTCAAGAAATCCCTGAGTTATACTGTGCACACAGGATTCACTTAGAGCCTGATCATATTTTGCTTTTTCCTCTCACAAAAATAACCTCTATGTGTATATATTCCTATAAAAACAGTGCCATTTTCTTTCTCCATTATGTATTCTCAGATCAGTAAGCCATAGCCTACCCTGCTGTTGCATGGAGGAAATAAAGGCCCCCAACCCCCCACATAGTTCTTTATATATTTTGCATTGTACAAGTATTTTCCTATCTGGAAATTATCTTGCAGAAACATAACATATGAAACAGCCCTTATAATTTCCTCCCCATGGTTGCAAAATAGCAGAAGGAACACATCAAACGTGTTGACGTGCAAAGTTAAAACAGAGCAGTGGGAAAAAAATAGAAGCTGTTGAAATATTTCTCTCTTGATGCTATAATATTGGAGCTACCAATTTGCCCTTTGACCCATCGTGTAGTAGTTGGAGTTTCTTAGAGTTGTGTCGTTTCTACAGTTGTTCAACTGGAAGACATTCAAGACCTGCTGGATTTCTCCTTAATCACTTGATCAAGTCCTAAATTGGGTTCTGAATTCCTTGATCCTGGGAACAAATGTTCTTGCCTTATGGCTATCCTCGCTGGCACCCCAAAGGTGCCATCACTGAATTCCAACAAGTTCCGTAATGGGTGGTGCATGGACCATCAGTTCTTCATATTTGTTCAGGAACAGCTTCAAGCGGGACAGATAACCATCCTCATTATAAGGCAGGTTTTTTTCTTTTAAGTACTGAGAAACAACTGGCTTGATCTAAAAGGGAAAAGCAACGTTAGCATATTGTGGCATGTAATTACTAATATTTACCACCATTTTGGTCAGCCCCCAGATCCATTCTAGCCTGGCTCCCTATGTGCTAACTGCAAAGGCAAAAGAGGATGAGTCACATTTGGGACAACGGGACTTGACAGCTGGCCACGGAAGGGGGCGATATTAGTGGCTTTGGCAAAGTCCTCTATTTCTGTCTGAAAGCAGTCCCAGCTCCAAAACTGTAGTACTTTCCAGCTCTAGGAATCGGATTCTCTTGGCTTCACAAGAATTGTGCACCATTGTTAATCAGTTATGTACCCTTCTCCCTGAGTGTACATGAATGCCCCCCTCTCATTTTCCTTTCGAAACAGCCACATCACCACTCAGCCTCACACCTTCAGGCACATGTTATCAGAAAGTGTTGGGAAAAGGTGATGCTCCACATGGCAGCTGATGAGTGAGTGGCCAAAGGTCCAGTCCAACAGCGCATTTCGAGGCAAGTTCAGAACGCCACAGCTCATCATGTGAATCCGTTTTGGCTTCTTATCAGGAGCGAACATTGGGAGGCCAATATGCTGCAAGAAGAGAGGAAAAAACACAGCAGAGTTGCTGTTTTGGATCTTTGTTAAAAAGTTGTAGAGCCAAAATCTGACTGGAAGAACGACAGTCAAGGAGAAAGCAGGAAATGAATAATGTCAGATTGCCCGTTTCCTGAATCCTTTGTAGGTACTGATCACACTCTTCAAGGAGGAAACACTGATTTACACAAAAAGAACAGGCTAGCACCTTTGGGAGAGATACACCAATTACTCACTGTTTACCTGAAGGATCAACCCTACACTGATATATCACCAAGTACCCTGGTGAGGGGCATTGCCCCCCCCCCACACGCAAGCTTTTGTTTTTTAAAAACATTTCCTCAAGCATCTGACATGTTTATCCTTTATTGTCGCTTTTAAAAAGCCAACCTGTTTCTTTTTAAAAAATAAACCTTAAAACACAGCTCTGGACTGTAGGGATGGGAAGAGGCTTTGTAATTGCCCAAAGGGCCAGCCAGTCCATACTATTCACAGCAGCCAATCAACATATCCAACTTGTGCAGGAAACAGGAAGAACCCTATACAGCCTTACCTGGAAGATGTTAACATGGATGTAAGGATGGGCAAGTAAAGATCGAGTGAGCAGCATACAGGCGAGAGCAGACCATACAGACTGGAACTCTGAGATATTGAGCAGGAGCCAGTAATGGGAGTATAGGCCAAGGAAGATGCAGCAGAAGGTCCGGATGGCTGTTTTCAATCCAACTTCTTTAAGTAAGCCTATGAAAACAACAGGGGCAGAGTCAGGGGTCATTTCCTGCAGGAGTGCACAGGAACGGAGCTCCAGCAGTAAAGAGCCCAGGGGGCAGTCATATGCAACAGACCCCACCCCCTGCTCCCAGCAGCCCTCAGTCAGAGCAAGAAGCAGCCAGGTAAGCTACAGAGCCCCCCCCTTTCAGGTACAAGCTCTCCCTCCTCTGCGAGGACAGATCTGCACGTTCCCCCCCCCCCCCATAGCTAGCAAGCCAAAACAGTCCAGTGGAGCCTGAGCAGTGGGTGTTGCCTTCTGACACACTTCCGGTGATGTCAGGGTGTGTGGCATATGCAAATAAGTTATGCTAATGAGTTATGGTAATGAGCTCCTGCACCTCTTTTTCTACAAAATGACCCCTGGGCAGAGTTATGGTCAGGACTGAGGCCAGTGGGCCAAGAGAGCTGGGGACAGAAACACAAGCCACACACCATAAGGTGTAGCATGTGAGGGAAAAGCTATGGGTCAGATCTATGGAGGAGTCCTCTACTACTGAGTGGCCTTACCACTCTGCCATTCCTCTCAGCACTACTAGCCTCAGCGTCTGCCAAAATGCAACAAAAAATGGTGCCTCTGCAGGGTATTGTGTGACCCACCTGAGACTGCCAGCCCAGGACCTGAAGACTACCGCCTTAAAAGGTAACATTTTGAAATACTTTTCATTGACCAATAAGGTTGGAAGCTTCTTTTATGGCAAATGTCAGGGTTTTTCATGTGCTGCTGGATTATCTTGATCATTGATCGTTTTTCTACTCTAAAATACAATTAGCTATAGAATCAATAAGAATTTATTTTAAAACAGAACAAAGAATCGTGCTGTGAATCTGAAAATCTGAAAACTAAAGACAGATGTGGATACAACTCTAATACAAAATGGCCATTAAAATGTTTTGCTTGAAAATCAGAGGAAGACATAGATGCTGGATAGCATTAAGTTATTTTGCAAGACAACTGCTGTGGGTAGGATGCAGTTACCAAGATTTGCTTTGTACAAGTCCTGACAGATCATCATATTTAAATTCAGGAAGGGATTTACCCACAAATCAGATTGGCTACTAATCCCAGGTGCTTTTCCTATTATCCTCTAGTGTTATAGATTTACTTTCTTACTTCAGACATCTGGAGCTATGCTTTGTGGGCACTTCTGTTTGCTCTTTGCACACAGTTTTCTGAACTGAGTAGGTGGATCTGGGAAGGGCTTGGTGGGTGGATGAATCTTGCCTTGGGGCAGATAGTTGGATTAGATAACTAGGACTTTCTCAGTTTAATTCTTCCACATCAAAGAACAAAAAATGGTGCACAATGCATTTGGTGAATGAGGATGGTAGAAAATAATTTTAATGAACTAATGGAATAATAGTTTTCTGAATTTAGGTTCTTAGCATTACCTAGGATCTAGTTGATTTACAAAGGTTATACCAATATGTAATAGATCTTAGAGGAAAGCAACATACCAATTGCCACTAAAGGAGTGAGAACAGGTAATGCTATGGGTGCAATGAACATGTAGACATAACGGTTCAGGAAAGGAAGCTTCCATGTACTAGAATCCCCCAGACCAATGACATTTGTGTAGGCATGGTGCAGCTTCACATGGTTATAGGACCCCTGTTCTGCTGTGAACGCTGAGCAAACCTGGGACAGAGAAAAAGATTTTGAAAAAAGGACATTACAGGCACATGTATACAGAATGTAGATGCAGGAGCCACAGAACTGAAAATAGCAGTGTGCACACACAGACAGGGATTAAAAAAAAAAGCTTTCAGTACTCTGAATATTCTTTGAGCTCTCTTGTTAGCATACATGTGGCTGTATGGCTGTAGCACATCAATGAATCTAATGCTGGTGTCTCCTGCAGTCACTGGCCAACCTCAACCTTGTGTGTCCCCCCCCCCCCCCCCCCCC